GGCTTCGGTCATTTACTCCAAATATACTGACTGATACTGACTGACTGAAATGGCTATTCCGGGCTGGCTTTTCTACCTATAATACTAGCCGTTGTGTTCTTTTTCCTTTGTTCCACTTCACTGGATTGTGCCATTTGACATCGCCAATAAGCAGAGGTACTATTTATTGGTATCACAACACACTTACATAAATACGGAGTTCAAAGATACATACCAACATTTCCCTAAAATAGGCTGATCTGAACTGAAAAATAATGTCTCTAACAAGTGGTGAATCAGATTCAAGTCGTGACCTACGTGGCACGTGAAGCCTTTGTCTACCATGTGCAACAGTCATGTGTGTATCCCCGCCTACCGCAGTTTCTGCTTAAGGGGCCGATGATGAGGATAAATGTAAGTACGCGGACAGAGGCTAAAAGGTGCCCGTGCTGTATCGTAAATAATTAGATAAAATTATAATACTGACTGCCAATGGGTAACTTGTGAATACCATGCGGTTATCCCGTAGTGGCTGGGCCAGCTAGTTACATCAAATTCCAGTTTGCGCTTATAGACCTTGATTACACTGATCTACCCTAGGTTCAAAAATTAATTCCTACGAAAATGAAAATCTGCAACTAATAAGACCTCACCCTTCGCGGCGGCGTCCAGATGCGTTAACGGAAAGACGACATACTTCAGGAAGGCGAGGACACCGTTACCGTCAGCAGCTGTCACACCAGGCGGACAGACTGCATGCTGCAGTTTGGCCCTCACCGAGGCGCTCGGTTCAAGGAGGTCTATCTTCGAGTCCACCTCGGAGGCGGACATCTTGCCACCCGTGAGACCAGGCACCATGGGGTTCATCAGATGGATACGCTTCTTGTAACCCAGCCGGGGCAAATACTATGTGCAGAACAGAGCGCGGGTGAGGAAGCTTTCTAGTCAGGGTGTAATTTATTATGTTTTAATGGTGCTCCTATATAATATTGACCACAATTCCTATAGAGAAAACAAATCTTACACTTGTTTCAGTTGAGAAAGCTCTAGTCATAGTGTGTAGTTAAATTTTTTTAGAAAACGCGCATCCTTAAATAACTCACATGATCATTCATGAACTTTGCAAGTTTACTAGTACTGTTTCTGATCATGCATGATCATGGCCAGACGACAGTGACCATACCGTTCCAAGTGGCTGAACGCAGGCCATCTGTAAGGCAGGTATGGAGCCAAAGACGGTCGCTGGAGTCAGCATTCACAGACCAGGACCTGGTTATCATCTGGTAGATCCTAGATTGGTTGCTTAGGAAATACTGCTTGGGTAGTCAGCTTACCGAACTTGATGTGGTGAATGCCATACGTTGCAGACAAGTTCGTTAAAGCAGCCACTGCGCCTATTTTCCGCATCAGACAACTGAGGGGCTGGGAAAGTGACTGGGGCATGCGAATGGGAACAGGGAGTGAGATCGATAGTCCGGTGCATTTATTCAACTATAAATAATTTGACGCGCTTGGAAGTCGTACGGTACGCTAAACTCCAAGCCCTGGAAGGTTGCCAACTAATGAGGTAACTTGGAACGCGCAGTCAGCCCAGTGTGTGGAGTGACTGACTGAGGGACTGAGAGTCGGTCTGCAGTGGCTGCTTCTTAATGTGGCCTCTATGGCATTCCTACTCCGTGGAATCCGAATCAGGTGTAGCGGCACGCTTAGCGGTGGCTCCGGCCACTTGTCCCCTTTCCCGCCTCCAGTCTTCTAAACTTGGTCATGACACCGAGTTCGGGCAGGTCAGGAGGAGAAAGTGCGGAAAATACAGGGCAAATATGCAACAACTATAATTACCGCGCGAAGTCCCCCTCCCTGTGCCACATTGCGGTTGAGCACATGGTGAACCTCGTCAAAACCAACGGTCGAACTGCCGTGTGTTTGAATCCCGAGTTTTTTTTTACAATAAAGTCAAGCGAGTTATGGAAATATTATTTAAGAGTCTTCTCAAAAACAATGTTGTGACAGGAAATACTCCTGGTCATTCTAACAATGTTGCCGGAGAGTATAGATTGCAGTAATAATCTGATTTCATGCATATAGGCATGTCGCGTCGGATCCATAAGCGCTTTGGAAGGACTGGGAAAATTCGGCAAACAGCATCGTCTTCCTGTACAGTTAACTGGCCTTCTTAGGGTTCAGGTTTGTGGGTTATCAGTCGAGACAGCCAGGATACGCCCTCCCGAAACACTGTTATGCGTCTACTATATGGCAGTCAGCTGCTAAGTCATGTCCACAAAAGGGCCGATGGAGAGAGGGTGAGAAGAAAGAGCAAGGGAGAGAGAGTACAAACCTTTAGCTAGTACCTGGGCTGTTAGTATGGTAAGTTACCGCATCAATATATACTACTACAGTCTGTCCGTTGGCATTAGTTAACGGGTTCCAGCCCGAATATACACTTACAATTTCGGTCTAGGCCTACAGACCTTAAATATACTGATGTATACTGCGAATAGAAATTAATTTCTGAGGAAACTAAAAAACTGAAGTACAAACCTTCTCTGCCAGCATGAAAATCTTGCGCTGGTCTACTCCACCAAACTGGCCATCGACCTTGAGGTAGACCTCGTCGAGGGCTTGCAGAAGAGGATACAGGAGACCGGAGACGAGGGGGTTGGAAACTTGCTTTACCACCTCAGCACCGGCCTTTCGGGCATCACGGATACTGGCTTCACCAATCATCCGGTACACGTCCTGTCCATAGCCCCTTGGAAGGAAGGACGGGGAAATAAGGTGTGTGGGTACATGGTATATTTAGTAGAGAGGAGGAAACCATGTAATGGTGTGTGCAGAGGGGGGCTGCAGTCAGATAAGTTACCGCTTACCTTATTATGCTAATAGACCACAATATGCGTAGCCGTTTTATAAATGTTTTAATACTAGTATGGTCGTTTCGCATTAATCTTCAACTAGATCGGCTTAAAGATAGACAAAGATAGTAAAACGCTTCAAAATAATAATAAAAAACGAGTGCTTTGTCTGCGGCAGAAAAATAGGCTGGATATGTGCATGAACGGGTTAACACTTCTAAAGCATTCCTTTGGTCCTGTAAAAGGGTGAAGGAAGTTAACCTTCACTTCTGAAATATTCCAGGAAAAGATTTTTCAAACATAGAAATTCAAAAGAAGTTTTTTTCGCTTATTAAGATCACGTGCGTTACAGTTCTTTGTAGTGGACGCATATTATTTTCATATATTCGGTTTCCTGTCGAAGCCAGCCTATGAATAGCACCTAAATCATCAGCTTCAGAAAAACGAACATCTGGAAATTCACTAAATAGGAAAGTGACTTTGAGGACGGTGTTAGAACTGTTGGTCTATTCGTTTTGCAGCTCGAATAACTGTTAGTACTGGTTGAACAGCTTT